CTAAGCTTCCTCGTCAAAAACGCCAAAGCCTTGCACGGCAATGCGCTCGTAGGGTCCATCCCACAGAGGTAGCCCAACACGTTGGCCACATCCATCAGGACTCGGTGCTTGTCCAAAGACGACATCGGGATCGGCGCTCTTGGACGGCCTGCCAATCTCGATCATTGGTGTCAACGAGGTGCTGCAGCATTCCTCCAAGATCCTCTCGAGCCGCGACAAAGACTTCTGCTTCCCGCCGTCCGCCACCGGCTGCACCGTTGTCGTGCTCAGCCACTCGGACAAGCTGCTGTTGAGCTCGGACAGGGGCGCTCGGACTAACTGAACTTCAACAAGAAACTTAGAGAATGTTTGTAAACAACAAGAATAACCATAAACCTAGACATCGATCCCGAAAGCCCGGAAACAGTTCCCCTAAACCCCATAAGCCCTGTGAGCGCTAATTCTAAGCCCTCGACCCCAAAACCCCTACAAACGCTAAATGCTAAACCCCTATAGCCACAGACCCTAAAACCCTAAACACCCTATAAACCCTAAACACACTAAACCCTAAAAACCTTAAAAACCCTAAACCCTAAATCGTTAAACCCTAAAAGACTCTAAACCCTGAATGCTAAACCCCTGAAGCCAGAGTCCCTAAACCCAGAAGCCTAGGCAACCGCAGTTCCCCTAAAAACGACCATGAACACTAAAACCTACCCTAAAATCTACCCTAAACTAAATCCCTGAAAACCCTAAATCCTAAACTACAAACCCTAAACCCCTACAAACCCCTACAAACCCCTACAAACCCCTACAAACCCCTATAAACCCCTATAAACCCCTATAAACCCCTATAAGCCCCTATAAGCCCCTATAAACCCCTACAAACCCCTATAAGCCCCTAAACTCTACCCTAAGCCCTCTTCCGACGGTGCCTCGCCATTCCCCTCCTCGGCCAGTCGGCTGAGGACCTTCCAGTCGGGCTCTCAGGGGGCTTACTTGAACCCAGACAGACTACCAAGAACCCTAAACCCCTATAGTATAACCCTTATGGTAACCCTTATTTTAATCCTTATAGTAACCCTGAAAGGAACCCCCTTCTTGGAGCGTCGGGGGACATAGTAAGCAAGTAATAAGTGAAGTTATACGTACCCTAAAAGGGATCCTGATTGGGGTTATTGTACTTATAAGTCTCCAAAATAACTATCATGGGACTTTGTAAGTAGGTTATAACAGGGAAAATAAGTACCCGAAGTGGGGTCAACCTATATAACTATAACCTACTTATAGCCTGACTTACGAAGTCCCATGATCCTCCAAGTAGGGGTTTCGTTTCTTCGTTCTTTTAAGGGATCTATAGGCTTCAGGGTTTAGGGCTTATGGTTGCTGATAGAAATCCCAGGGTTCCATTAGAGGGATCTAGAAGGGTACCGTTAAAGGGGCTCCTTTACAGGATCTATAGGCTTTTGGGGTTTAGGGCTTCTGGTTGATGGTAGAAATCCTAGGGTCCCTTTAAAGGGATCTAGAAAGGTACCTTTAAACGGTTCCTGCAAATGGATCTACTAGGGTACTTTTAAGGGCTTCCTTTACGAAAGGGAGCTAGAAGGTTTTAGGGTTTAGGGATATAGATCCTGCATTTCCTTAATTAATGACCCTAGACTATGGTATACTCCTCATTATGGGTCATGCAGGATTTTGTATTATCAGCCTTAAGGGTTTCGGGTTCAGGGTTTGGGGTCTATAGGGGGTAGTAGGGTTTAGGGCTTGAGGGGTTTAAAGCTTAGGATTTCAAGGTTTCGGGCTTTCGGTTTTGTTTATAGGTTTCGGCTTCTTTTGTGCTTCGAGCACCAATTTAGGATTTAGGGGATAGGAATTAGGGTTTAGGGGTTTCGAGCTTTAGGCCTTATGGGTTTCGGGTTCAGGGTCTAGTGCTCTCGGGCTTAGGGATTGGGGGTTTTAGGATTTAAGGCTTCAGGTCTTATGGATTTCGGGTTTAGGGCTCTCGGGCTTAGGGATTGAAGGTTTTGGGGCTTGAAGGTTGAGTTTTTGTTGGTTTAAGGTTTCTGGTTTGTGGGTTTCTGTGTTCATGGAACTAGAGCTTAGGGACTACGGGGATTTATGGGGTTAGGTTTTCAGGTTTAGGGTTCCGGATGGCTTAGGGGTTTGGGGTTACCAAATACCTGTTCATCGCGGCCTCCACCGCCGTATGGCGCACAAAGGCCTCCACGTCCGCAGTGCGGGCGAAGAGCTGCGGGAGGACCTCTGGCTCTGCGGGCCCTAAATGGCTTAGGGTTTTCGGGTCGAGGGTCCCAGAAAACTACGATACGTTCTAGGTGGATTTTATAGAAAGGATCCCATGAATTAAGGTTGCATGAGGCTCTCCGCATTGTCCGAAACTCCCATCAAACAGGAGCCTGAATGATTACGTAGACCTTCTCTGCTAGCAACATGTACGCGAACTTCAGGAATACCGAACACTGTTCTCAATTTTCCTGGCTGCCAGTTAAATATGGGTTCTGAAGGTTGAGGTCGCGGTATGATTGAAGGGAGTATGAGCAGCAAACCCCAAATCCTACACACCCTAGTATTTGTGTGAGTTGGAACTCAAGTACATCAGAGCACGCGAGGCTGGCACTGGAACAATGGACATCTTGCGCAGGACTGCCTCTATCCCCTAAGACTCCATGTACCCACAGAGTAGGTGCTTAGGCCTTAAAAGGGGTCCCTACATGGGTACTTTAAGGCCTAAGTGCCCCTGAGGGTCCAAGTACCTAATTATCATATACTCTCCAAAATAGTAACCTACATAACTACTATCCTAAACCCCAGTACCTAATAATTGGGTCCTTTGGACCCGTGGGGTGCTTGCTTAGCAAGTACCTTAGACCGACACAGTCTTCAAGCTTGCTCAAGGAAAGAACTCTCGGACTGCAACTCCAGTGCCACACAGGCGCGTTTCTTTAAAAAGATTGCAGTGCACGAAGCATGCTTCCTGTCGCCATGCCGGGATGGCCGCCAGGCTCTTGCATTCCATGGCCTTCAGAATGGCCGGCAGCTACAGCGTTATGGGCTGCAACAGACAACGGGCTGAGACTCGGGTGAACAAGGAGCACCAGGTCGTCCGAGACGGCTTTCACCTGGGCTCTTTGCTCCCCCACCTCCCCGTGGAGCAGCTGTAGGCCGGGGTGATGGGCCAACCGTCATCAAAGGTGCAGCTGTAGGCCGGGCTGCACTGCTGGCGGCACATTGGCCGCCAACCGACAACTTTGAAACCCTTTTCCAATCACAACCCCAGCTACTGGGTTCGTATAGGCGCCTTCATTAACAAGTAGAATCAGATTATGTGTATTTCGTACTGTGTAAATAGTCAGGGGTCTTTGATTAAGAAAGGTGCTCGTGTATGGTGCAAACCCAGTTCAGGGTGGGCTCAGCGTGCTCAGGATCGCATACCCCACACCCTGAACCAGGTCCTTGGCAATTCTCTTCATCTTTGGTATACGGCACTGATAGTCAACCTATGTCAACCTAGTACTTCCTCAAAAAGAGGGGCACAGCAACGAAGGAACCTTCTGCAGCCCCAACCTCCTTGTGCTCTCCCCTCCTCCCCAAACCGCTCAAAAATCTTATTCTCAACCTAAATGGGGGGCCCACCCCGTCCCCACCCCACCCCTAGCCCCCGAACCCGAAAGCCCGAAAGCCCGAAACAAGCCAAAACCTTACTCCTCCACTCCTCAACCCTGAACCCGAAAATCCTAAACCCCAAACCATGAATCCTAAACCCCAAGCTCTAGTAATTCCTGGATCCTATAATCCCACAACCCTGAAAGCCCAAACCCAAAGCCACTACTATGACTACTGATAAGACTACTACTACTACTACTACTACTACTACTACTACTACTACTACTACTACTACTACTACTACTACTACTACTACTACTACTACTACTACTACTACTACTACTACTACTACTACTACTACTACTACTCTCTGAGGCTGAGGCAGCAGGATCCTCCTTGTCTGCAACCTTCGACCACAGTAAACCCAATAAAGTTGGAAACAGGATTAAGGCCAAATAGTGCTGGGATTCCCTTTGCATTACTCTTATGGATTGGGGCTATTGGGTTTCCAACTTTTGGGCTTCTACTATACTTGGAGGTCAGGGGACATAGTAAGTAGGTACCTTACAGACTCGTAAGCAAGATAACCCCGAATCGGATCCCATTTTAAGGTACTTATGAGTCTACTTGTTTTCTACTTACTAAGCCCCCCGACCCTCCAAATAAGTTTCGTACTTCCGGAAGGATCCTACATAAGATTTCGGGTCAAGGGCATGCTGGGCTTGGGATGGCTTGGGGTTCAAGGTTGAATTTAGAGCTTTGCGGCCTAGTGTGTAGCGTTTAGAGGCTTGAGGTCTAGGGTTTAGGGTAGGGGTGTAGGCTTTGGGGTTTACGGCTTAGGGTTCTGATTTCAGGGATGACATGAGACACGCTTCCACAACCATACGAGTTACGTATTCCTAATTATAGAGACCCTGCGTTGGATGATGTTCAAGGAAGTACGACTAGCGGCATTTTGGGTTCGGAGTTCAAGCAGGGATTCACGACCCTAAACCCTAAACCCTAAACCCTAAACCCTAAACCCTAAACCCTAAACCCTAAACCCTAAACCCTAAACCCTAAACCCTAAACCCTAAACCCTAAACCGCATACCCAGGAAGCCTCTACCCCAACCGTGAAGGATAACCACTGATCTACAAGTCCCTCTCGAAAGGCCCAGAAATACGATATAGACTTTCGGGCTTGTTGGGGAATGTTTGATAACTTAGACCCCCTAACAAAAACTGTAATTTTAGGTGTGTCTTAGGGATTAAAGGGGCCAGAGATTAAGAACCATTCATAGGAATAGCCCGTTATACTATATTTATAGTAATAATGATAAGGAGCCCCCTAAATAGTATTTGTAATTATTGAGGTCCCTATAGTATATCTTTGTACCCAAGGGCTCAACCTAACCCTCCTGGAACTTCCATCCACGGCTGTCTGGCTAGTGCGTGAAGGGTCGGAGGGCGTAGTAAGCGGGTAACACGAGTTCCTTAGAGGGCTCCTTAAAGGGATCTATAAGGGTTCTATGAAAAAGGGTATGGAACTTAGTAAGTAGGTAATGAGTAGAGTTATAGGTACCGAAGAGGGATTCTAATTGGGGTTACGGTACGTTAAGTCTCTAAGATAACTAACTAGCTACTAAGTCCCCCTACGCTGCGAGTATACCGAGACAAGCTCCAAACACCATTCCAAGCAGCCTGCAAGCCGGCTTTCAAGAACTGTTAGGGTTTAGGGTTCAGGGGTTTAGGGGTTTAGGGTTTGGGATGCTGGCTCCAAGATGTTCTGCTTGGCTCCTTCAGTTGATTGTCGCCATCGCGACTTCATCCTTTATATAACCGCCACGACTATTGGACGACTGCTCCCTGTATTGCTACGTACTACCTGTACTCTCGGTGCTCGCTTGCTGATGCCCCTCATCTTCCTGGTATTTCTTGCTAACAGAACTGCTGCTGCTGCTGCTGCTGCTGCTGCTGCCACAACCACAACTAGCAGCATCACCACCACAACATGCAACGACTACTACTACTACTGACCACATTCTTGTGAACCAACTCCTCCTTCTCCTCCTCCTCCTCCTCCTACTGCATACTATACTACTACGATTATCATTACTACTACTACTACTACTACTACTACTACTACTACTACTACTACTACTACGACGACGACTCCACTACGACCGCTATTACTACGCCTACTACTACTTCTACTAGATGTACTTCTACTCCTACCTCTGCTACGACTACCATGACAACCACTCAGACCAAGACCTGCTAGCAGCACGGCCACCACCCAGCCCTGAAGCGTAAACACTTCTACACCCAAAATTGTCCAAACCACAGACCGTACAGCCAAACCAGGGCCTAAATCGTGTGCTCGGGTTCGGGGTCTCGGGTTTTAAAGGTTCAGGATTTGTGGCTAATTTTCAACTCTAAACCCTAATATTAGGGTTTAGGGTTTAGGGGCTTAGGGTTTCGGGTTAACCCTAAACCCTAAACCCCTAAACCCTAGCTCCTAAACCCTAAACGTGTGTCGGCCTTCTCCAGGGCTTTGACCGCTGCGCGCCTCACACCGCCGTCTCTGTCCTGAAACTCGGCATTTCCAAGGCGGAAGATTGGTGTTCAATGCTAATAAGGGTTTCGGTTAAGGGCTTAGATTGCTTCAGGGCATCTTCCCCTCCAATGGTGTTGGTGTCACGGTATCAAGTAGCCTACGTACAGCCACATGCATAATTGGCTGTAGCCATACGAAACTGTTAATGAAGTACACTGTAATTTCCTGAAATCAGGGTCGCATGATTCTCTGAGCGTCCACGGATGCAGTCCAGAGACCAAGTCTGAAGGTGTTACATCCGGAGGCCCTGTTAGCTTTGGGCTAAGCTTTGCAGTTTAGTCTTTAGTCTAGGGCTGGGGGTGAAGATATATGTGGTCTGGGCTTAAGGTTTCCCTCAACCCTGCAAAACCTACATTTCTAGGGCTCGTTATCATGATTTCCTTACAAATGTGCTTAAAAAGGTAGGCTATTCCGCTTAAGGTCGGGTTGAGGCTCGAACAGACCCGGCGACTCGCAAGCCTTTTAACTTTGTAGGCCTTGGAGCTTAGGTTGTCGGGCTGTCGGTAGCAAGGCCCACGGCCTACAGGATATCAAGCATGTGTCTGTCTATGTGTCTGTGTGTGTGTGTGCCTGTGTGAGACCCATCGTGTAATTCTAGCTTTGTAGCTAAGGTCAGCGGTTTAGGGTTCAGGGGTTAGGGATTTGCTGCGCCGCCGGTATGTATCATCAACGATATATGGCAAGGACCTCTACCAGCGTGACGGCACGACACAGGCAGGTCCAAACCCCAAGTGGACAAAGCCAAGGTTGAGGGTTTAGGGTTTAGGGGGTTTCGCGGACAGCAGGGTAGTTCCACGCCATGCCGGCGACCTCGTCCTCGTCTGACCAACCATGTGGTCGTCGTCCTTCGGCTCAATCTGACGAGTGCAAGCACCAGGACTGCCGCTCTTCGACTCAGTGGTGTGACGATCAGTGCCGCTCTCCTCTGCCTCAGGCTGGCTGATTGGTCCTCGTCGAAGTCTGACACCGCTTGGTGTTGAAGTGAGGCAAACACCTCATCCAACCACTTCCTCGGGCCTGGCTCCTATATTAATTGCAGCTAATGTGGAAACTGCAAGTCCCCTTATCATACTCACGGTTTAGGGTTTAGGGTTCGGGGTTTGCGGAATTTAGGTTTAGGGTTTATAGGGTATAATAGACTACTGACTGCCGTCCTCTCAGCAGGCCCTTTGGGGCTGCATGTCGTATAAATGGAGGGTAGGGGACGCAACAGATGCCTCCACGCGCAATTGCCCTTAAGAACTACATTCGGACTGGAACCGTATATTTGGTAAGCGTATCATACAACACTTACAGAATACGAGACTGTCAAAGTTCAACTCCCTACAGCCTGAAGCTTCAACGAGCCAAAACCCGAGTTACACACCCAAAACCGAAATCCGAATCTTCCTAAACCATGTAATGCCTTCACCGACCCAGGAAATATGAACGAACAAAACTTTCGCAACCTCGTAACTCTCGGTCTCTAGAAAGGGCTAGCGGTCTACGGCTTGGGATTTCGCGTGTAGGTCTAGGGGTTCATGGACCTCCGGAATTGTTGAAATCGAGAAGGATCCGCAGAATCTCACTTGTACACAAAACTGCCCCAAAACCACCCAAAGAATTGCGACGGATCTTGCTAAGAACGAATTTCAATTCTCAAAAGCTCCCCAAATCCTGAACCCTTTAAACCCCAACCCTACTAAACCCTGCGCCCAAAACCCAACACCGCAGATCAACACAAGTCCTCGAGTCGTCCGACGAGTGCCTCAGGCTGTCAAGCTTCCGGGTTTCGGCCAGGGTTCAGAGTCTACCTATAGTCTCCATTGTAGTTCGTTGCTTTGGTTAACCATTCTTCTGGTCAGGATCCTATAATATAGATACTGGTTATAACCAACAAAATGAAACTATACGTAGTGTTAGGCTTTAGGGTTTCGGGTTCTGGGCTTAATTACATGGTTCATGGAAGACCTACATGTTTTGCTGTTAGAAACAGGAGGAGGAGGAGGAAAGTGGCCCACAGATGTTACTGCGGCCGTCAACCCCCTTCCCCCCAAGCATCTCAGAGCAGCTCCGATGCCGTCATCGCCGCTCTCCGCGAGGGGTTCGAGAGGGCGGGTAAGTAATCTAGCCAAGCTGCACAAAGTTGACAAAACCGAACAAACCTTTTTGTGTTTGGGGTTTAGGGTTGGGCTCAAGGAGTTTGGGGGTTCGTTCTTCGGGTTTCGGTTTGGGGTTTGCATAGTCCACCTCACTGGTCACTGTTTTTCAAACGAGGTTAACCTTTTCATGTATGGTAGGGTTTCAAAAACTCCAAGGGGTTAAAGGTTACCCACTCAGCTACTACGAGCCCTTGCAGAGCCGTTGCACTACCCCTTATAAAACTCTATAGTAGCCTTTATCAAGGTTAAAGGTTACCTACTCAGCTACTGAGATTTTGAAGCCTGCACAGCTTTCTGTATGGACACCGACGCAAGTCCAGATCGCCTGGCACCAAGCTGTGAGCTACTGATCGCGACAGTAGGACCGAAATGATATTGTCATTCCGAGCTGGAGTTCCCTAAGGGTCCATGTACCCATAAAGCATATACTTTGGGCCCAGTGTACCTACATAGGGAGTACTTCAGGCCAATGTATATACTATATGACTACATGGACCCTTAGGAGTCGATTGCCTAGGCTGCAGACCTTCTGATGCATCTTATGCTCAGTCTTGGCTTCACCTTGAGCGCTTCTAAGTAGTTAAAGTTTAGGGCTCAGGGCTTTAGGCTCCGGGGAGTTGCATACTGTATTTACAGTAGTTGTCTAGCCCCAGTCTGAATGATTCTACACTCGTCGTGGTTGCGGCTCCTCCAACACACATTGTGTGTACGTGTGTATCCAAGTTCAGAATTCAGAAAAGAATCGGTCATAATCTACAACCTATACAATATGGCCGCGTCTGAAAGATAGTGGGACCGCCAGAAAATAAGGGTTCACAGTTTAAACCCTAGAAAATGTAAGCGTCCTTGCTGCTAAGATCCCTACACCACAGATACCATGATTCATATTAGGGACCCTGCCCCTCAATGCAGAGACATTGGGTGGGTACTGCCCCCACTCTGTAACAGTGGGATAACGTGTATAATATACTTATATGTGGCCCTTACTACGACACCTAAGATAGACTGTTACAGGATGGGGGCAATACCCAAGACATTGGAACCCCAAACCCTGAACCCCAGCCCGGAAACCCCAAACCCTAAACCCTAGACCGGAAACCCTAAACCCTAAACGCTAAACCCCTAAACCCTAAACCCCTAAACCCCTAAACCCCTAAACCCTCATTGAAAGGTCCGAAACACCCTCGTTTTTGTTGCGCCCAAGCTGCGGCGACCGTGCGGGAGCTGCTGCGGTTGGACACCTGGCGTGCACCCGAAACTTCGGGGTTCAGTAAAATTAGAAAGTAGATAATACATATGCTTTTAAGTACCACAACCGCGATTAAGATCCCTTTTGGATTACTTATAAGTCTACTTATTGCCTATTTACTAAGTCCCCCGACCCTCCAAGTAGGCTTAGTAAATTGAAGGTTTAGACTAATCAGGTTTACCACTGTGGGATTGGGCATCACAAGACCATCCGTACTGTGGTGTTGAGGGGGACACGGTTCCAGATATACATCTATGCATACATATAGACGTTTAGGTAGATAAATCAACATACGCATGTATATATATATATATATATAGACATAGAGAGACCCTCCAGGTAGTATTGACAGTTGTATTCAGGAGACTTGGATGTAGGGACACTCGTTGGGTAGGGTAGCACACGTACTTCGGGAATTTTTGCCTGTCGACAACGAATGAATGAACCCTGCAAAACAACCTTTCCTGAGCCCCTATACAAGCCTTACATATACTGGCCCCAAGTGTAGCAAGAAAGACCCGATAGAACTGAAACGTATAAGACAGGCTCGGGCCAAGTCTCTCTCCACAGACCTAAGGAGCTCTATATAACCCTAGAGAATGGTATTAAAGAGTTTAAGGTTTAGGCCGGGCACGAAGCAGGAACAGCGTGCTGTACGCTAAACTCACCCTTGCCGGCCATTTTGGCGACATGCTGGCCTGATCCCACCACCCCAAACCCTAACCCAAGACACGTTGGACGAATCCTGAATAAGGATTCACTGAACCTCCACGTTCGTCGCTAGGTCCTATAAACCTTAATTAAAGCCCATCCTACATCTACAGTAACATACAATAACCATATCCGCAGGGAGCGCGAGGTCCGGAACATGTCTTGAACCCGAACTCGTCGAAGTTCAAAACTCCAAGAGGGAGTTACAGTCTCCCCAGTAGTCCCCTCTTTCCGCTGAAGAAGATTCTGTTACGAATTCTATGCCTCCATACGAAAGCCCAAAACAACCATGATAAGGTCCTTGCAGATCAATGATGAAAACTCGCAAACCCTTTGTAGCCGAGACAAGTCGTTGAACACCTGGACAATAAACCCCTAAACCCAAACCTAAACCCCTAAACCCGTAAACCCTACACCCTAAACCCTCCACGCGAAACTCTAAACCCTAAACCCCTAAACCCTAAACCCCAAACTCTAAACCCTAAACCCCTAAACCCTAAGCCACAGTGGTCCGCCTGGCCCAGTGACGTGCACGCCAATCGACGCACAGCGGAGTCTGAGTCTCCGAGCTGTGCCTCGCTCATTGCTTTTACAAGGGGTTGTGGCGGCTTACTTGGAGGATCATGGGACTTAGTAAGTAGGGTTATAAGTACCCTAATTGGGGTTATGTAATTTTAAGTACAGTTACCCTAATTATAACCCTAGTTACTAAGTCCCATGACCCTTTAAGTAAGGTTTAGGGTTCAGGGTTTAGGGCTTAGGGTTTTTAGGGTCAAGGGTTTTGGGCTTAAGGTTCAGGACGAGATGCACCGCAAAAGTGTTTGGGCTTAGGGGATAAGGGTTTAGGGGTTCAGGTTTGGGTTTAGGGGTTTATTGTAAGGTTTAGTGTAGTTTTGTGAAATGTACCCTAAAGTTCAATAACAAAAAGGAGGATTCACGGTATAAGGGTATCGGTATAATTATGGTGTCCCCACATTTAACCCCAAAAGAGCTTAAGGCTCGATGAAGTCACAGTAATCAAAACTCAGGGTCCCGACGTTTAAGGCTACTATTTGCTTAAGAGCCCCCAAAAAATCTATATATATATATATATATATATATATATATATATATTCCTTATATGGGGTAATATAGGGATTATTATTTTTATTCTTTGGGTGTTTCTTAAGCAAATAGTAGAAGGGTAATCTGGTTTGCAAGGATGGGGCTGGGCCGGAGGGAAGGTTGGGGTTGGTGAACGTACAGTTACCCAGACCACCGGGAGGATCCAGAAAATAGATCCCTTAATGAGGGTTCCTATAAACTACCCTTAGTAGTATAGGGAACCAAATTAGGGGATCTACTTTCTAGGTCCTCCCGGGGGTCTGGGTAGAGGAGATCGTGAAGTTGTATCTAAACGGGGGCGTTGGGCGCGTTTCAAGCGGATCGGCTCGAGGTTAAGGCCTTTTCTACTCTTTGAAGCACTTCGAACTGCAATACTGCTGATACTGATGGACGAAATCCGCAATGCCTGAAGAAGGGCCCTAAACCATGTCTTTGATGCTGAGCCCTAAACCCTAAACCCTTTATCCCTTCCTGGAGCAACCCCCAAACCTCGCCAAGCCCAACATACAAAACCCTAAACCCTTAAACCCTAAACCCTTAAACCCTAAACCCTTAAACCCTAAACCCCAAACCCTAAACTTTAAAAGCTTCCAACCCCGAACCCCCAAAGCCCACAACTCTCCAAATCCCAAAACCCGCCAGACCTCAAGCCTACCAGTAATACATGCGCAGGGGATTTAGGGTTCAGGGTTTTAGGGAACTAGAGTTTGGGGTTTTGAGTTTTATAGTTTTAGAGATATAGTTTCAACGATTTGAGATAAGGGGGTTTCCGAAAATTGGGGGGTACCTAATTTTGGGGTTCTTAGAATAAGGATCCTACTATTTCGGGTACTAACCCGAACGAACGCCTCTCTAAGAGACCAAAACTCAGAAGGGAGTTTCCGAAAATCGGGGACTCTAACCTAGTACCCTAAATAGTCGGGTCCTTGCTATGAGGAGCCCAAAATAGGGTACCCCAATTTTTCGGAAAATCCCGTACAAATTTAAAACTTCCAGAAGCAGTCAAGGAGTAGGCCCCGGACCACCAAGGCCTCAAGGACTTGCTCGTCACCGCGACGAGCCACCTCTCGAGATGTGTGGCTCCGCGTTTTAAGGTTCCCATAAAGGGCTCCTCAAAGGGTTGAGGGTTTATGGGTTCAAGGGCTTTGGGTCTTGGGGGTTAAGCTTTTTTTATGTTACGGTTTAGGGTTTAGGTTCCTCCCTTTGGGGGTTTGAGGGTTTAAGGGCTTCCGCTTTAGGGCTTAGGGCTTTGGGAGCTTCGGGCTTGGGGGTTTTGGGTTTAGAGTTTGTTGCATTAGGGTATAGGGCCTAAGGAGTGCAGGGGCTTCGGGGTTTAGGGGTTATAGGGGTATACGGTCTAGGGCCAGGGGGTTAGTGCTTGAGGGCTTCGGGGGGATAGAGCGTTGCGCGTTCAGGGTTCAGGACAGGGGCTACAGGTTGGAGGACAAGCTGAAATTCGCCAAGGCATCAAGGCGGTTATATCTAATATGGCTCCTGTAAAGTCAGACGCGCAAAGGGGGGGTTGTCTATGGGATTAGGAGTTTAGGGGTTTAGGGAAGGTATCAGAGCTGTTGAGTCCCTGAAACCTGACACTCTAAACCCTTTAAGAACCCTCAAAGGAACGGCTATATCCCTAAGAGCCGGGGTTGGTATGGGATCTTGAACACAGCAGAGGCTAACACGAGCTTGGTAGCTTAAATTGACAGGCGTTGGGTTCGTGGATTCAGCAAATTAGGCTTACGAGTTCCCTAACGGGGTTTTGTGATTCAGGGTTTAGGGTTTGGGGACCATATACCGATTTAGGCACCCAGTAGTTAATGCCAAAGTATACACTACACAGCTACATGAGCCTCAACTGACTTGAAGAGTCTGGCGGACTCCACCATCAGATCGGCGACTTGGAGGATCATGGGACTTAGTAAGTTATAAGTACCCCAATTGGGGTTATAAGTAATTACAAGTATACTTACCGTAAGTATAACCCTAGCTACTAAGTCCCATGACCCTTTAAGGAAGCTCCAGTTCTCGGCCCAGGGCTCAGCATCATCAGGTTCGTCATCGATACCTGGGATGACATTCAGCGTCCCCTCGTCGGCACGCTTGTGCAGACCTCTTCAGATCGTTTTTCCTCTCGCCCAGGTGATCCAGTCGGCTGCTTGGCAAAACTGCACATGCCAGGGCAGGTGAGGATGCAAAAGACTCAGGACTCAGTTCAAGGCTAAAGTGGCATGCAAAGGTCGATCTACAGAGAGCTGATATCATGCGGACCCACAAGTGCCACAAAGCCTAGAAGTGCTGCGAAGGGCTCTCAACCAATCGTAGTGTCGTGGTGTTGTCGTTGTCACAGGCTACAACGCCCACTTGCCGACGCAGTGGCTTCTCGGATTGCAGAGACAGTGCTGAGTTAAACCCTACACCTTGAGGAGCCGCCGCCTGCCCCAAGGACGTGGTAGCCGCCTGTCGAACGTACGGGTCTCGATCCTGCCGGCGAGAGTTTTGGCTTCAGGTCTTTCGTGGTTGGTTTGGGTGTTTCGGGGTTGAAGCTTAGGGTAGACCACTGATTAATCAGCCACTCTGTGTTTAAAGGGCTTGATATTTGCGTTCCTAGTGTGAGCAAACATAATTACTAATCCCGGCTCTGCGTTACCTGTAGCCTCCATTGTATTCCTTCTTTCTTACCGATCCTTTCCATGGGTGGGATCCTACAACAACCGAGAACAAGGCAACCAGCGAAAGAAACTCCTGCACAGAGTGCAGGTAGCCCTCAACCCACGAAAGCCTGAGCAGCCCAAAAAAACGACCCGATGGCCCACTTCCCTTCAAAGAAAAGGCCGCGCGCACATACACACACACACACACACCAACAAACAAAAGGAGAGTAAGTAAACTCCAAGCCCTACACCCCAAACCCCTAAACCCTGAATCCGAACCCCCAAACCCGAAATCCACTAAACATGAAACAAAGCCCTAAAGCTAGTGAATGGTTGGGATAGTCACGCAAATATCAAGATGTCTATTCCTTCTTGGGTTTAAGACTAAGAACCCATAAACATGTAAAGTGTAATCCCACTATCCCTATGCTTCCAAGGACCTTAAAGCTAGGGCCCTAAACCAGCCTAGACCCCTTAAGGACCCCATAGTGGGGTCCCTGCAAGCATATGACACACCCTACACCCCCAAAGCCCCTACTAACCTAAACCCCAAAAGCCCCTAACCCCAAACCCTAAACCTAACTAAGACAAAGAAAAGGGGGCTTCCGAAATTAGGGGACCAATTACCCTGAATCGTATGATCCTTCTTATAAGGACCCCAAAGTACGGCACCCCTTCTTTTCGGAAACCCCAAATGAGGGGGGGCCTTCAGCAGCTTCAGAAATGAGGGGACTCTAACCCCTAAACCCTAGACCCTAAACCCTAAACCCTAAATCCGAATCCCTGAACCCTAACCCTAGACCCTGGACCCTAGACCCTAAACCCAAAACCCTAAATCGGGCCTTCAGCAGCTTCAGAAGCACCGGCGCCAGCCGCGCGTCGCCGCGGGCTGCCGAGCCCAGACCCTGGCAGGCGGCCTCAAGAAGGGGGTACCAAAAGGCGGATTTAGGGTTTAGGATTTAGGGTTTTAAGGCTTAGGGATTCAGGGTTTAGGGGTTTAGGGCTTAGGGAATTAGGGGTTTGGGGGTTTAGCGTTTAGGGTTTAAGGTTCAGGGTTTTGGGGAACTAGAGTTTAGGGTTTAAGATTTTATAGTTTTAGAGGTATATTCTTTTAGAGATTTGAGATAAGGAGTTTCCGAAAATTAGGGGTACCATTTTTGGGGGTCCTTATAATAAGAATCCTACTATTGAGGGTGCTATATTAGGGTCCCCTATTTTCGGAAACTCCCACAAGGGATTTAGGGGCCAGGCTTTGGGGGTTTACGGTCTAGGGTTTAGGGCTATAGGGTTCAGGGTTTGGGGATTTAGGGTTTAGGGATTCAGAGTTTAGGGTTTAGGGATTTAGGGTTTAGGGATTTAGAGTTTATAGGGTTTAGGGATTTAGGGTCTAGGAGTTTAGGGATTCAGAGTTTGGGGTTTAGGGATTTAGAGTTTGCAGTGTAATTAGGGGGATTTACTTTAGGGTTTAGGGATTTAGAGTTCGGGGTTTAGGGATTTAGGGTTTAGGATTCACGGAAACAAGTGCGCTTGCGGGCTCTGGCCGTGCGGGTCACACCACCCGCGTAGAGCTATCAAGGATGTTGTCTGGATATAGGGGCCTCAAGGATGAGACTAGGGTTCCTTCAAATGTTCCTTTTAAGGACCGCTGGTTTAGGGTTTAGGGGTTTAGGGTTTAGCCGGGTTTAGGGTTTAAGGTTTAGGGCGATACGAAACACCCAACCTCAGATCATGACGCAAATGACATGAAATGAATACTAGAGGGTCCCGAGACTTAGTAAGTAGGTACTAGTAGACTTACAAGATACCCTGAAGGGGATCCTGGCCGGGGCTATAATGCTTATATGTCCATAAGACAAACGACTTACTAAGTAAACCGACCCTCCAAATACTGTAATAAGGACGTCTGACTAGACTAGGGTTCCCGTAAGGGGTCTTCGAAAGCTTTTTTTACGGGTGTTCTAGAGGTGGATTAAGGTGTGGGTTGTATAAGTATAAGCGTGTTTGCGGACCTAGAGTCTAGAGTTACCCATGCAATGGCATTGAACAACTGCGGCGAAGGGGTGCGAAAGTCCGGGGACCAGAGAATGATAAAAGATTCAACCCAACCCAGACATCCGAAATGGCACGAAAGCATGATAAACCCTAAACCCTCAACCCGAAGCCTAAACCGTAAACCCTAAACCCCAGTGGGAGGGTTGGGGGACTTAGTGAGTACATAGTTATTCTATAGACTTATAAGTACCATAACCCGAATTAGGATCCCTTTTAGGGTACGTATAAGTCTACTTACTACCTACTTACTAAATCCCCCGACCCTCCAAGCAGGATGTCCGGCCTGTCGGACGTGTGTGTCTGTACTGGTGGTGTCTCGGATCAGCCTCACTGCTTCTTCAGGATTTCAAGTTTACGGCTCTAGAATTGCCCAGTAACCTAGGAATAAACAGGGCTCCCTTTTAATTTGGTATTGGGCAACTTTGTAAGGAACCGAGGACTGCAAAAAGGGAATAAGGGTTTAGGGCAGGCCCACTGTTCAGGAGCCAAGCTTTGCAGAGCCAGGTTCGCTTTAGGGTATAGTAGGGCCCGAAAAAAGCCCTTAAGCAAAAGTTAGGATAGGGATATCCCACATAAACCCCCTCATAATTCAGCCGAGCAAGGTAGGGATTACCATACAAACTGCTTATGCTTATGTGCTTTTGGGTCCCTGATATAGGGCTTCGGGCTCCACGACTCTAGGTCACCTGTAAGGTCATGAGTTTGTGTAAGACCATAGTGCGCTAAACCCTAAATGCTAAACCCTAAACCCTAAGCTGTATGGAAAGGGTTACAAAACACTGCGGCAGGTGTGTCGGACTTTCTGGTACGCATGAAGTGATGGGAAGAAAATATAGAGATTCGCCTCGTGTGAGCGGAGTTGTGGGGATGAAGGGTCTATGGTTTAGGGTTTGAGGGTTCAGGGTTTAGGGTTTGGGGGTTTAGGGTTTAGGGGTTTAGGGTTTGGTCTACTTGCAACTGGAAGAACGGACATACAAATAGAAAGAGAAAGCCAGATGCACAAGCATAAGACACACCCTCAAGTGCAAGACTTTGTCGAATACAGAGAATGCTCAAGCCTTGCAAAAAATAGAACGTCATAATGGAAGAACCCTGCTTTAAAACTAGAAGCCATAGTCCAACAAAAAACTAACCCTGAACCCTGTAGCCCCTAAACCCTGTAGCCACCATAAGTCATAACCCCGGCAGCCCCTAAACCCTACATATCACACACCGTTTATGGACCCTAAATCCTCTAGCGCCCCGATGGTGTAGGGGCCTCAATAATTAGAATAAGGCTTTGGGATATATTATACTATGACCATAGTCAATAATGAAGAACCCCAGAAATCCTCAATAATTAGAATAGGGCTTTGGGATATATTATGCTATAACTATAATCAATAAGGAGGAACCCAAAAAATAGTATAGGTAATTATTGAAGCCCCTCTAGTACTCTTTGGCTACTTATTGGAGGCCTCAACAGGTTGGATGAAGGTAAATAGGAGTAAGGATACCTTATATCAGGACCCTACACCCCAAACCCTCAACCCTAAATCTCTAAACCCTAAACCCGAAACCCTAAACCTCATTTTTAAAAACTCTAAACCTTTTGAGGCCCTTGATGGGTAGTAACATCTTCCTTGCCACGGAGCTCAGCGATCTTATCGCGAGGAGGCGTCGAAACGGTGGCCTTGGCCAGCATCTAGGATACCCAGTAACCTAAGAATAAAAAGGCCTCTCTTTTTGGTATTGGGTAACTTTATAAGGAACCTAGACTACAAAAAGGGAATAAGGGTACTAATGGGCATAATAGGCATCTCACCGGACACAGGGTGGGTTTAGGGTTCGAACAGCTTGGGTTTAGGGTTGAGGGATTGGGGAAAGGTCTGAACTATACAAACACACGGACAACCTTGAACAACCTCAGCCAAGCCCTGAAGCCCAGCCGGCGAGAGGCAGGCGCAAGGCCGTGTGCACGGTGCTGCCACCGATTTGGTGTGCCGCGCTGTTCATTGACACCATCCATTGGGCAACTCCTCAAACCTCATTCATTCCATAGCGGGTACAGCCCCGGCAGCACCAGCAGACTTTGGCGGCACGACGACGGGCGCCTTCGGCGCAACAGCCTTCGGCAGCAGTCCAGTGGGCGCCTTCGGTTGAACAGCCTTCGGCAGCACAGGTCCAGCAGCATCAGTAAAAAATCTCGGAGGCACAGGTTGCGGAGGCATTTCGCGCAGGAATTAAGGCTTAGGCTTTGAAAGGTCAGTCACACCTAAGTTCCGGTCTGTTGGTCCGGTGACGCACCACGGTTTGATTGAAAGCTTCCAGGGTCACCTTGGGTCACCTATGCCAGACAGCACTCTCTCGTGAGACCCCTGGTTGGAGAAGTTTGCCGAAAACCCGATCCGCAGCAGGGGAGCCTCTTCGGATCAGTTGGCTCTGGTTGGCACATTTCGAAGGTATCGGGGTCTCAGGTTAAGTGAAGGTCCTCAACTCGACCGAACACACAAACTTCGCGCGGGGTTCCATAAAAGTTGGATCTGGTGACACAAAGACCACACAAACAAAATTATCGCTAAACCCTCACCCCCAAACATCGGCAGACCTCTGTATTTCGTTTCTGCAGCAAACCCTACACACTAAGCCCCAAAGCCGTAAGGTGAGCATTCACCCTATCCGTAAAATTGTGGAACCTAGGGCCGAAACAACCTTATAAAGAGATCTAAAAGGGTACCTTCTGTAAGGGTACCTTGAAAGGGCTCCTTTAAGGGATCTATGTAGGGTTTTGGAGTTTAGGGCTTAGGTTGATGATATAAATCCTGCATTACCTGACCCTAGACTATGGGAATAATGGTATCTTCCTTATTCTGGGTAATGCAGGGTTTCTATCAGCAACAGTAGTAGACGTACTGTAGACCTGCGGACCCTCGTTTGGCCGTGTAGAGTCGAGATTTTGGGATTTACGGCTCCAGGTCTTCAAAACTTTCAATACTTTATCAAGGACAAGAAGTGGAGCACGTCATCGCGAGTGGGTGATGGGAGGCCAAGAGGGGGGTTTAAAATTCTTGGGGTAGGGATTAATATGAACCCTATTATGGGAACCCTGACCCCTACTAAACCCCCATAGGCTAAAACCCCTTTTGGCCTCCTATGAGTGGGGTCTCAGATGCGGCACCGCGATATCCAAAACAGAAGCACATGGGTGGTTGTCAAAATTATGGTCCCTTTTTGGGTACCTTAAATATTAAGTGCCGTATGATAATAGGGACCCAAAAAGGGACCAAAATTTTGACAACCACCCGACATGTGCACGGCAACCAGCCCGAAGAGCTACTGGCACGGGGCTTGTGCCTTGCAACCCTGAATCCGAGGGCACAGAAAGAGTCACCGGATCTTTAAGCACAAGATCGTAGAAATGAAGAACTCTCGTGTAACACCATGTAGAACTCTTACAAAGACCAGGGAAATAGGAAAATCTGGGCCCGCTGCACTTGTAGGCATGGCGACCGGCCGGGAATTCTAAAATACACCAGCGGCGGAAGGTGTATGTAGGGTTTAGTTTAGGGTTTGGGGGCTGTTGCCGCTGCTTCTCCTGCTGCTGCCACTTGCTACTACTGCTGCTCCTGCTAGTACAACAGTGAGTTTGTCTAAAATCTCACCCAGGGTCCCTGGTCAAAACTCACGGGCCCGAGCTGGGTAAGCTTTCTTGTCTCCTTGTCTAGGATGCCCAGTAACCTAGGAATAAGAAGGGCTCCCTTTTTGGTAGTATTGGGTAACTTTATAAGGAACCTAGGACTACAAAAAAGGGAATAATAAGGTACGACTGGGCATCCTAGTTGTTTAACAATGTCTACTGCGCAGCTCTGAGTTCCAAGGTGTTGAACTCTCTCTTCAGGTGCCATTGCCGCTAGAATATAGGTCCTACTTTCCAACATTCCGCAATATGGTGGAACCCGAGTCAAGTGAGTTCGATATTCTTGAGCCTTCACGTCGGCTTTCGGGCAGAATTCGCCATGCAAAGGTTCTGTGCTTTACGCTTCGGGGCCTGAGCTCACTTTCGACGCAAATATCCCGCCCAGTCAGATGTCTATATTGTTGTTTGAAAAAGGTGTGTTTTGGGCCCAAGTTACACTTTCTCACAACCAAGGCCCCTCCTTCAAGATAACATTGACCCCCCAAACTCCAGCTTGATATAGGGACCTTAATAACGAGAATAGGATTTCGGGATATATTATTGTATACTGAATCAATCTATAGTACACTTACAGTCAGGAGAGCGGAGGAACAGTATCGGCAGTTGCTCAGGTTGCCCAAAATCAGTGTCAAGGATGCTCACTGCTGAACCAGCACCGGAGTTCATCGAGAACCAGACCGTCGGGGGCTTTGGTTCCAAAGTTGCACTGTGCCCTTTACCTGGCTCCCGAAGGGCTCACGGCTTAGAGCTTAGAGCTCAGGATTTAAGGTGTTAGACCCTGCTCGTCTGCAAGAATTGTGAAGAGGGTTTCAGGTATGTTTGAACTTCAACTTGAACCCACAACCCTAAACCCTAACAACATCGGTCGGCCAGAGTGGTGAGGTAGATTGAACTACAGTTGTCCAGCAGCACCGATCGTTACCCGCAACTGAGGTGCCTGATGTGATATGACATGGTATGATATGATGAGCCCTGGTGGTCCTGATGACGATGATGATGATGGTGATGGCGATGATCAAGATGATGAAGACTTTGAGGATGATCATCATCATCATGGTGATGAAAAGAAGGTGAAGAGGATGATCCTGATTGTCCTCCTGATGATAAACATCATCGCGGCAACGGGCGAGAATCTCATAGTGGCGCTCATTCTTGTAGTGGCTCATGCTGAAATTGACCATGATCGTGCTCCGAGGAACTCTAATTATAGACCCATATTGCAAACCCACTGCACCGCAACATACACATGATCCGGTTCCTTTGATCTGGTCAGGCATTAGGAACATGATGCAGTAGTATTGGGGCCTTTATTCTAATTATTACGGCCCCTATATTAAGTCCTTGTAGTACCCTTATGGTAGCCCTGTAGGATCCCTTAAGAAACCCTTTAAAGGATGGGGATTGCTTTTGCCACGCTCAAGCGTCCTGTAAGGCTGCAAACTGGTTGACGTCCCCACTGAAAACTCTATCAAACGAGATGCAGAACCTGGAATGCGCAGTCCTTTGCCCAGAAGCCCTAAAGTCTACGACCCTCAACACGCGTGACGACCCTAAACCTCAACCGCAACCTAGAAGCCGTAATTCTACGAGATGAAAGCAGCTGTGCGCCTCCACTCTACGGTTTCGCTTTAGGGTGCAAGGTTTGGGGTTTAAGGATAACTGGGCCCAAAACAGCTCAAGCTTGACATCATCGACCAGATATATAGGCCCAAACTGTTTAAACCCTAACCCCTAAACCCTTTAAACCTCTTCCACTGGCGAAGTAAGAAGCTCTTGCTCCTCAGTCGGTGGTCCACAAGCCTTTCGCAGATGAACCCTTGAAGCTTGAATTCCCCAAGCGTATAAACTCTAAACGTCCCTAAACATTAGAGCCCTACGGTTGATGATGCAAATCCTGCATTACCTTGAGGACCCTAAACTATGGGAATTACAATGTATTCCTTATTATGGGTAATGCAGGGTTTATAGCATCAACCGTAACATCTAAATCCCCGAACTCTGCACCCCACACCATCAAACTCCAAAAGTGTATGGAGAATCCCCGACTCCCATTCGCTTCAGGCTCTGCTTCGAAACCCAGTTTCTGCAGCGATTGATTCGGGTGTAGTTCCGGGGGGGCACTTAGCTTAGTTGCTGAGTTCATAAGCCCCAAAAGGTGTACACTTTTGGTATTATGGTGGGTAGTATTATCCGAAAAAATGTAAAGTGTATCCACTCAGCTACCAAGTTAGTATATGAGTAGGGAACAAGAAGACACAAGTATATTGAAGAGGACCCTAATTTGGGTTACGATACTTATAACTCTATAACGTCAAAGGTACCCGACCCTACTAGCAAGGCATTGTGTCAGGTTTAGGGATCTGCAGACCCGGGATGTTTGGTTTCTTTGCACAAACAACTACAAGGCAGAGCGTCAGTGGTCTTTGGCTTAAGGGTACTGAAGGTTTAGGGCCCTCGGGTTTAGGGTTTAGGGTAAGGGTTTAGGTTTTAAGGTCTTGAAGGTTTGGGTTGCTTGGTGGTGTATTTCAAGTCCAAACTCATTACGGGGCCCTGGCATCGTTGCAGAAAGAGCGAGGCGTCTTGTGTCAAGCCAATGCTGTACATCCCTGGGAAGCAGCGAGGAGCTTGGAGACCCGCTTGTGGCTGGTCAGTCACAGCCAGCTCAAGTTTAGGGTATTGGGATGAGGGCGTGTTGGAACGAGGAGTATAGGAGTAACTGTTTCAAACAACCCGGACCCCTTGCCAAACCCCTAAACCCCTAAACCGCCAATCATCAAACCCCTAAGCCGCTACGCACGCTGAGTCTCCAAGCTTGCCGACGAAGGCACACGGCCTTCCTGGCCGAATCGCAACCCGCACTGCGATGCAGTGCCTACAGACGCTTTCGGGGGCGCCTGGCAAATGGGGTGGGTGGGGGGGGGGGGGGGGGGGGGGGCTGCACTTCTTTGGAGCCTACGTACAGTTTCGGAAATTGGATCTGCGGGTATAAGGGAAGAATTTGACATCCGCGGCTAGACGAAGATGAGATTACCATCTGATTAGTCGGCCCCATGAATCTCACTCAGTGGCCCCGGGAAAAGTTAAACGGTGCACGAGCGGCTTGCCCGCTGCGAGCCCGTGACTTCTCAGAGCGCCCAAAGTCGCAGACTAGGTGTCGATTTCAACGGTCCCAAAAACATTGTATAATTAGGGCTCTGTATATACATGTATATATACATATACATATATATATATATATATACATATACATACATATATATATATATATTACACAATACCAAGGGAAATTAGAAACAATATCCCAGATCGATACCTAGGTCAACCCTCTCCTCGGATCAGTTTACGACCTCCTCCTAAACCCTAAACCCTTAACCCTATACCCTAGACCATAAAAACCCTGAACCCTGAACTCTAAACCCTAAACCTTCAACCCTAAACTCTAAACTCTAAACCCTAAACTCTACTCTCTAAACCCTGAACCCTAAACTCTATACCCTAAACCCTAAACCCTGAACCCTAAACCCTAAACCCTAAACCCTAATTTCACCGAGAGTCAAGTGACTCAGAGCTCAGCCCTCAACTAACCCGAAATCCGCATAAATTTTGAATAAGGGTTTAGGGTTTAGGGGTTTAGGGGTTTAGGGGTTTAGGGTTTAGGGTTTAGGGTTTAGGGTTTAGGGGTTTAGGGTTTAGGGTTTAGGGGTTTAGGGTTTAGGGTTTAGGGTATTTGAGGTGACGGATAATTTATGACCTGAAATAACTTGCATCAGAAGGTTAACAAAAGTGTAAGGTAAGCCCCGAACCAACCCTAAACCCTAAACTCAACTACACTCAGCCCTAAACCCTAAACCCTAAACTAAACTAGACTAAACTCAGCCCTAAAGTCGGGTCGGAAATGGGCTCCCTGATCCGGTGGACATCGGAAGCTCCATCACGCAAGCCTCTGCTGACGTCAGAGACTCCAAAACCCCTTAATTAAGGAATATACCTTAAATTACAGTAGGGGTCCTAATATGATTTAAGGTATATTCCTTAATTAAGGGGTTGTGGAGTCTCTGGGGAAGCTCCATCACGCAAGCCTCTGCTGACGTCAAGCCCTGAGCCTTTGTTGTCGATGCCCCTAAGTAATACCTTTAAGGGGATCCTTTATGGGATCTATAGGGCTTATTTGTTTAAGGGTTTAGAGTCTAGGTTGATGACATAAATCCGGCATTACCTTAAGGACCCTAAGCTATGGAAATTATGGTAAATTCCTTATTAGGGGTAATGCAGGATTTATATCATCAAGCGTAGTCTCCGTGGTAGTTCATTTTAACGCTTAGGGTCTAGGGCGAGTTTCGGGTGTAGGGTTTAGGGTTAAGGGTGGGGTAAATCGACTTTAGTTGGTTAAACCAGAAAACGGAACTACAATGGAGACTGAAGGTAAGGCTCCATTGATCCACATACTTTGCCCTGAAAAGAGAAATATATGGTTAAACAGTCCGATTCCTGCTATATGAAGGTTGGGTATTGGAGATCTACGGAAAGGTTTTGTGTTCAGACTCTTCTAGGGAACTTGGTCCCGACATACAGTTCTGAATTGATAACCTAGGGTAAACCCTAACCCGCGAAGGCACTGAACCCCACATACGCCCTACACCCTTAACCCGATTTTAAGCCCCGATATGTACGAACGAAGGCTCAACTACATAATATACTATGCATACATTTGTATATTCTAATTAAGCAAAAGCCCAGAACTCTACACCCTAAACCCCATATTGCGGCCTGCACTAAACCTAAACCCTAAATGAGCGGCAAACCCCAC